GTCATATCATTCTATTTTCTGTTACCATAACTTCAACGTTTTTTTTTTTAATTCAATGTATAAATATGATAATGCAATATCTGTCTTTCTACAACTGGCTTATTTCATTTAGCACAATGTCTTCAAGATTCATCTATGTTGTTGCAAATGACAGGATTTTCTTCTTTTTAAAGCTGAATAATATTCCATTGCATATATACACCACATTTTCTTTATCCATTCATCTCCTAAGGGACACTTAGGTTGTTTCTATATATTGGCGATTGTAAATAATGCTGCAATGAACATTGGAGTGCTGAAATCTCGTAGAGATAGCAATTTTATTTCTTTTGCATATGTACCCAGAAGTGGGACTGCTGGATCATATGATATTTCTATTTTTAATTTCTTGAGAAAACTTCATACTGTTTTCCATAATGGCTGTACCAATCCACATTCCTGGCAACAGTGTGCCAGGATTCCCTTTCCTCCACATCTCACCAATACTTGTTGTCTCGTCTTTTTCATAATAGCCATCCTAACAGATGTGAGGTGATATCTCATTGTGGTTTTAATTTGCATTTCTCTGATGGTTAGTGATGTCAAGCATTTTTTCATATACTTGTTAGCCATTTGAATGTCTTCTTTAGAGAAATGTCTGTTTGGGTCCTTTGCCCATTCTTTACTGGGTTATTTGTTTTTGTTTTGTTTTGTTTTGCTTCCTTTTGAGTTGTTTGAGTTAGTTTCTTTTTCATTTTGTTGATTGATTTTCTTTGTATTAGTCTGTTTTTGTTGCTTATAACAAAATAAGTGAAACTGAGTGACTTACAAAGAAAATGAAATTTATCACTTACAGTTTTGGAGGCTGAGAAGTCCAAAGGCCAGGAAACACATCTGGTGAGGATCTTGGTGGTGGCAACAGTGACCTAGGGGTCTCGCACTATGAAAATGATGGAGCAGAAAGAGAAAAGACTAATCTCATTCATTCTCCTTTTAAAGCATCCTGAACCATGACCCTGACGACCATTATTAATCCATTCACTACAGTATGTTCCTACAATCTAATCACATCTTCAAGGCCTCACCTTTTGGTTACCATAATAGGATTTCCTGTCCCCAATAGTTACAGTGGAGATTTAAGCTTCAATGGGTTGGGGAGCATCCAATCTACAGCAGCTGTGCAGGAACTTTTTAGTGTCACGCAGTCCCACCTTCTTAATTTCACTTTCATTGTCTGTGCTTTTGGTGTCAAATCCAAAAAATCATGGCCAAGACCAGTGTCAAGGAGGTTTTCCCCTATGTGTTTTTCTAGGAGTTCTACTGTTTCAGGTCTTACATTTAAATCTTTAATCCACTTCTACAAACCGAGACATGCCAAAGATTGCTGGCCTACCAGAAGCTAAGAAAAAGCACAGAACAGATTCTTCTCACAGCCCTCAGAAGGAACCAACCCTACTGAAATGTTGATCTCGGACTTCTAGACTCCAGCACTATGGGAATAAATTTTTGTTTTTTAAGCCACCCAGTCAATGGTACATTATTACAGCTTCCCTGGCATACTAATTATGTAATGTGTCTAGAGTTTATAAAGTGTGGTTCATTAGGAGCTCACTCCACCAAACCAGGAGTGAAACTGTCTTCATTTGCCTTAGAATAAGGTCACATTCTCTCTATAATTCCATTTTCTTACCTGTAAAACAGGAATAATAACAACAGCTCATGACATTATTGGAAAAATTAAATAAGCTGATCTAAGTAAAGCACTTAGAGAACAATACCTGAAACACTGTATGCCCTCAATTGAACTATATTTATGGCTCTGTTATAGGCACTCTAGATACATCACCAAACAAAACATAAATTTCTACCTTTCTGAAGTTTACATTATAGGGAGAGGAGGCAGACAATAAATGAATAAGTAAATTATGTAATATGTTAGCTAGTAATAAGTTCTATGAAGAGAAATAAAGCAGAGACTGTGTATAAGGAGGTCTGGAGTTGGGTCTGGCAATTCTAATAGGGTGGTCCAGGGAGGCATCATTCAAGGAGGTACAGGAGTGAGCCATGCACACCCTAGAGAAAAAGCATTCCAGGCAGAGAGAACAGCAAGCACAAGTGCCCTGAGGTCAGAGCCTGTCTGGAATATTCAAAGAACTGCAGGAAGGCCAGTCCAGTGTGGCAGGAACAGAGTGAGTGAGGTGGAGGGTGGTGGGGGTGAGGTCAGGGGTAACAGGGGACCAGATTGTATAGGTCCTGGAAGGGCATTGACCTTTACTCTGAGTGACATGAGAAGTCACTGGAGGTTTTGAGCACAGGAGTGACACGATCTAAGACACATTTCTGTAGAATTACCCTGGCCACTGTGTGGGAGTAGGTTTGATACTCCCAGTTGGGGCCAGGAGAGATGGAAGGACAGAAACAGGGAGACCAGGTAGGAGACCATTTCTGAAATCCAGTCCTGACACCACATTGACTCTGACCAGGGTTGTGTGGTGAAGAAGGTAAAATACAGAGACTGTATATATTTTGACAGGTCTTCCTGTCTGAAAGAAAGAGAAGAGTCAAGCGTGATGCTGAGACCGGAGACCTGAGCAACCATAAATCCATTTCAATTAACTGAATTCGGGACGACTTTTGGAATGATGGTTTGGAAGGAAAGAAGAGTTGCTGTTACCACCGTTCTTCCTCTTCCCACATTATCATTGTCATTATTATGGTTAGAACGAGAGGTAGCTTTGTCAATTCTTTTCACCTTCTTCTTAGTCCTGTCTTCTAGCAGACTTTCCTCCTTTCCTAGCAGATAATAAGTGACTGCACACCCATCCCACGACTTGGCCAGCGTATTCCGTCTGGCCGATCCTTTTCCCTACGGAGACCTAGTTCCACGGAGAGGTCGGTGGGGACCTGGCAGGCCCTCTGTCCCGGGCACTCCACCTGGACTCACCCCTCTGCTTCCATAGCCACACCTTCCTCTCAACTCCCCCGCAAAACACCTGCTGCTGCTGCTCTTAAAAACATCACCATTCTTTGCTTTTTCTCATGTTCGCCATTTTTCTTCCACTCATTCCAATTTCCATTAATCCTCCCACCAATTCTTCTCACTAACAATACTGTCTGCTATCATTCCCATTAATTCTCCTGCAATTCCCCAACACCATGATAAATCTCCTGATCCATCTTCCTTTCCCCTGGTCCTCAGTTACAACTATTTGCTATTTGTTATAGGAAAAGTCACTTGATATGTCTGGGTTTGTTTGCTGCTCTGTAAAATAAAGGAATTAGACTAGATTGTCTCTAAAGATACTTTAAGTGTTAACTTCTGGTCTAACTGACTCTATGTTCAGCTATCCAGTGATTTGTCATGTGTGGCAATTTTCATTTCCTATCTAACTCGCTTTCAAATCTGTCCTTTCATTACTTCCTCATCATGCCCAGAGTCCTAACCAGTTTTTTTTAATCATTATTTCTTAGGCCAAGCTAAGTGGTTTTCACCCACACCTTGATGTTAGACAAAAGAGAATGTGTATTTTTTTAGATTTTTTCCTAACACTGGCACACTAACTAATAAAGGAATAATGTTTCAAGTCTAAAAGAAAGCAACCCTATTTGGACATTTCTTTATCATGAGTGAGATCTTCTTACAATTTTCTTTGAGAAATCTCTGATTGAAAAGTTTTGCTAATGCCAGTGACAGCAGCTAAAGCCACAATGTCTGCTTTGATTTTCTCAGACACACTCTTGAAATTTCCATCATCACTTCCTGGCGGTGCCCCCACCTTGGACCTCCTTTGTCATGTAACTGCCAATTTTGATCAGTTAATGAGAGAGTAAGTGTGACAAGGAAAAAACAAATTAGCTCAGGTGACAGCTCCCTTTACAAATAAGCAAACACGGTTTATTGTGAATTTCAGACTAAGTTGATAACATTAAAATATTATGTACACCAAGGTTTTCTTAAATGCTTTTATTTAGCAAAAATTATAATTGGTTTTGAAATACATTAGACATCCCACTTATTGAGGACGAGAGGGGTTATTCCAAAACATTCTGTAATAGTCATAAACTGATTTTATCTGTCAGAGCAAAAAGTGAAACAGGGAAAAATCCACCCAAAAAGGTCTTTCTATAGTGGAAATTATACAGCTTGATTTCTTAGACACTAAGGCAATTCACACACGCACACACACAATTATTTCAAAACATTCCATTTTTAAGACTAAATTTTACACAACACACTGTGACTGGGAATGGGTTACTCAAATACAATAGTTGTCTTTATTGATTTTTAGCAAGGGAACTGGACTTCACATT